TCACGAAACAGATTAAGCCTTTTATACTTGACACGTTCACCATTGAGATATTTTTTTTTAAATGAAAGGGGGCGCTCCAAAAAAACTAAGTAAAATCAGACGAATAAAAAGATAATCAGTATCATTTAAGATGTTTTTGGGGGCCTCTTTTTGTTGGTTTAACAAACTTATCCCTTAGGTTTTCCCAAAGTTTTACAAAAACTTTCCTCCTTCCCCATGTCTGTTGCAATTTCTAGCCAAAATATTTGTTCATTCTGGCAAGCAGAAATGTCACTGTGACAGAAAATAGGTATAAACTTGATTAGGTATTATAGCCTACTGTACTATTCACTCTTCAAATAAATCCCACTATCAATCCCATTTTATGACTAAAATAAAGTGAACTAGTGTCTGCTGTACAGTGTTTTGTAAAGTACAGTAACACTTCATTTACTCTGTTGTGGTAATACTACAGTTGCTATGGTAACAAAACAAGTGTATTAAAAAAAAACTACCCAGTGCTTCATTTTTTTTTTTTTTTTACAAGATAGGGTATATTTTTCTACAATTCAACACACTTTACTGTAGTAAATCTACACTGTATTTCATTTTATCAGTTCACTATTCTTAATACTACAGTATGCTGAAGCATCTCTGGAGAGCAAAAGCACTAAAGGAGTCCGACGGAGCGAGAGCGGATCATTCGCACGTGAGCAGCCAGTGTTTTGAGAGCTCGCAAGCAGTTTTGTCCATGAACAAAGGAAACCGGCGCGTGAGCAGAGATTCGCTCTCTCGTATTACAGCGCTCCCAACTTATAAAACTGCGCATGTCTTTGGACTTGTGGGGGAAACCAGAGCACCCGGAGGAAACCCACACCAACACGTGGAGAACATGCAAACTCCACAAAGAAATGCCAATGAACCCAGCCGAGGTTCAAACCAGCGACCTTCTTGTTGTGAGGCGATCGAGCTATCCACTCCACCACCGTCGCACCTGCAAAGCAATTAATTCAAAACTAAGCAGTAATTATTTACATTGTTAGTATGCTGTTATAAATAGTTAAAATATATCCTATATAACATGCACAGGAAAAATGCATATGATGTAGACTTCACAATCCCATGAGAAGAGGATTTGTGAATGACACTAGAAGGTTGTGTGAAAACGACAACATTACAGGCACTTTTCACAAACTAATGACTTTTTTTGGAATAAGTACCTACACAAATTTAACTATTCAAAATGCAGACAGAGTAAAGTTTCACCAGTATGTTTACTTAGACTTATTAAAGGGCACCTATGGTGAAAAATCTACTTTTCAAGCTGTTTGGACAGACATGTGTGTAAGTATAGTGTATATATTGTCATATTGGGGTGAAATAAACACACCCAGTCCTTTTTTTTCAAATTTAACAACATATAAACGGTGGACCAATTGGAGCAGTTATCAGATCGACTGCAACTTTACGTAGGAGTGCGGTCCCTCCGCCCACCAATATTGATTGACAGCTGCGCATTAACATGTCTCCATAGTAATGCATATACTCATATCGACAAGACAGGACGAGCGCAAAGCAACCGGGAATAAAAGGTCTGTTCAGTTTGCTAGGATCATCAGTCATCATCAGACGTGATCAAGAGTGAGTTTTACAAGTTTAACATGTTTTAAAACATGTGCACGAGTGTAATGAAGTACAGCCATTCACTTCTTCAGCACAGCCTCGTGTCTCCCTCACTGTCTCTCTGTGTGCGTGTGTCTGCCTGCGTCTCTACACTATGTATGTGCGTTTGTGTCTGCGCTACTGGTGTGTGCTATGTGTGTGTGTCTGCCTGCTTGTCTACACTATGTATGTGCGTGTGTCTGCGCTAGCCTACTTGTCTGTGCTATGTGTGTGTGTGTCTGCCTCTGTCTCTACGCTATGTATGTGCGTGTGTCTTGCTAAGTGTCTGTGCTATGTGTGTGTGTCTGCGCTGTGTGTGCGTGAACTCATTGCTGCAACTCCACAAAAAAAATGCATCAAACACTGATGGTAAAGTTCTTACTGTAGTATTTCTCACAAACGTTACGTGAGATCTGCTTCCTGAGGCAGCCGAGGGCGTGTTGAGGCACGCTGCTGACAGACACGTGGGATAGGTGGGCGGGGGATGACTCGCCTTAAAGGCCCGGTGCAAAAAAACAGCAACAACCTTTTCCCAGCTATAATACAGACACTTCAGACAGCTATATAAATACTCTGATGGGTGTTTTGAGCTGAAACTTTACAGACACATTCTGGGGACACAAAAGACTTATATTAAATATGAAAAAGGGGTAACCCATGTGCCCTTTAAGCAAAATTAAACTTACTCATGCTGAGGCCTCTAAAAGACCTGTGAAGAGATGATGCCAACCATCAAGGACTTCTAGAGGTATCCATAACCTACTCATACCTGCAGTTCTCCCCGATGGACGTCCAGCGTTATCCAGCGCCTAGACTGCAGCTCTGCACAAATAGTTTGCCAGAGGAGAAATGGTCGTACCCAACTGAGCCAGGTTTCTCTCAAGGTTTTTGCTTAGACCTAATAAGCATAATTAAACTTAGCCTTAAAGAAACTCATGCTACTGTCCAGGTTGAAATTCCCCATCTTGAGGCCTCTAGAGACCGTGCAGCACCATTGATTTGATCCAAAACCTGTGAAGAGATGATGCCAATTATAGAGGTCTTCTAGAGGTATCCATAATCTTAGACCAGGCCGTATTCCTGAGCAGATGTTGTGGTGGTCAAGGAGAAGTGGAAAGCATGAGACCGATTCCTGAAAGACTCCAGTGACAGACGAGTCTCTGCATTGATCTCGTGGGCCAGCCTGAACAACCGCCGGTGACCAACTCACACCTGCAGCTTCTTCACGAAGGACGTCAAGCGTTCTCCAGCGCCTGACTGCAGCTCTGCACAAGAAGTTTGGCCAAAGGAAAAATTGGTCTTGCCAGAAATGAGCCTGGTTCCTCTCAAGGTTTTTGCTTAAGACTTAATAAGCGTTATTAAACTCTTAATGTCTTAATGCTTTTGTCCAAGTAGCAATTCACCTGTGAGTGAGTACCAAGGGAACTGGTAAAGAATAGTAACACTTCTAAACAAAACAATATGAAAAATACAAGAGAGATTGTATTAGAAATTAGGACCTTCACCAACAGATTTATATTTTATAGATCAGACAAAATAAAAATGACACCATTCATGGTCAATCTGATCAAACATCTTCTGTACATTTTGTACACAAATAATGACAGAGCAAACCCTCCACGCCTCCAAACTCACAATTCGACTGTAATAAAGAGTCTTTATTGCAACCCACATCATTTAAAGTGTATGAAAGGTGGATAAATATGCATGTAGACAGAAAACAGACAGGACCTGAGCTTTACGGGACATCAACTGCGCTCTTTGAACAGTGTCTGATGAGTAAGCAAACAGAAAAAACAAAGAAAACCACAGAAAATGAAAGGGTTTTTATGAAGAAAACAGAAATATAAAGGACAAGGTCAGCAACATGCAGATAAATTAAGCCCGTCACTGCATGCCATGACCAACGGAAATCACATTCACTTAAAGTGCGCTTTATATCATACACAATTTAGACGGTATCTGATGTATTCTCCATCCGAATGATGCAAAAACATCTTGAAGTTTAACAGTCAGTCTGTTCACCTTTGTACAGCATAGTAAATAGTGTTGTCCTGATACTGGAATATTAAAAACGTCCATTTCCTGTGAACATTTGAGCGCCGTGATTGGCCATGAAGGTCATCAGTTCATCGAACTCACCACTGTTTACTGAGTGTAACCACAGATACAGGAACACTGGAGCCTTTCAAAGTCACGCAGATCAGCTAGTTTGTCTATAAGCTGACATACGAATGATCCACTGATAAATTTGGGGCTTTAAAACGCTCCAATCTCCCTGTATCAGTGGTTACACTCAGTAAACAGTGGTGAGTTGGGTAAACTGCTGACCTTCACAGCCAATCACAATCATTTCTGTTGAGCTTGTGAACACAACAGCAAATCAGCTGTTTAAGAGCGTGCTCAAATGTTCGCAGGAAATGGACGCTTTAAAAAGTTCAGTACCGATTGATATCAGATTCCAGCATCATGACAACACTAATAGTAAATCACACTTTGTTCAGTCCATCACAGAATGCCCAAAGCAGAAAAGGCAATAAGATTCATTTACAGCAGGGGTGTCCAAACTCGATCCTGGAGGGCTGGTGTCATGCATAGTTTAGCTCCAACATCCTTCAACACACCTGCTTGGAAGTTTTTAGTACACCAAAGAGCTGAATTAGCTGGTTCAAGTGTGTTTAATTGAGATTGGAGGTAAAATATGCAGGACACCGGCCCTCCAGGAGTGAGATTGGACACCCCTGATTTGCAGCAAAACAAAGCATATGTTAAGGCTTCAGTGTGCATCTACAGAGAGATCGAGACGCACACTTTTCCTCACAA